ATAAAAGTATGACATTGTGATATTTTTTGAGGGAATTGTTAATATATGGAGAAATTTAACAACTTGCTCTTGCACCGTGGCTCTTTGAGTAGGTTGTAGACCACCATGTGTTTGCAATAAGTCACATAAGCGCCTAAAAGTTTCTGGTCCCATACGGATAACCTTACTCAAATATCCATTTGTACTAAGTTGCATCAATAATTCCTCTCGTACTAAATGACATTGTGCAGACCAATATCCAATGGGTCGATCCACATAATTTGCATGGCTTAGTTTTCGAGCAATTATCATGTTTACTACATGACAAACAATTTCAGTAGCAACCAATTGTCGCTTCCTTTGTTGAATGTCATATTCTCCATCGACTTCATTTTGTTCCTTATCCATTTAAAAATGTTTGTATTAGAACACTAAATTTACGAATGAATAGATAATTAAAAAGCAAATTTTATTTATTTACAAAGGTTATGGAGTCATTATCAAATACAATGTTAAAATTCTAAATATCAATATAAAAAGAAGTATTTTTCTAATAGTAATGTTTTTAAAGTGCTGACATAATTTACAGTAAATAATAAAAATAATGCAACATCCTAATAAATAAAGATGTTTTTAAATGAAGATACTGAGATATAAATATCATTTTGTCTACCCAAACTTTACTGAAAAATTCTTCATGCTTTAAATCAAGTTGATCAAGCATTTGATTTTTTATGTCTTCATTTTGGCCTCAGCCAGGAACACCTCTATGAATATAAATAGAACTGCTATAGCCTAGGAGATTTACTGATATCAACTAACGTAACCAAATATGATTTATTCTATTGTCATATGACCACCATCTTGTTAGATCTCATTTTGGTTTTGACGATCAGCCACCATTCAAAATAATACTTCTAGTATCATCATCTTGTTAATCATTTCAAAGAAAGATGCATTATTATAATAAAAAGAGGCTAACATATTGTTTATGAACTCTAGATGGATTATTTTACAATTTGAATCTACATAGGCAAATAAACAAACAGATTGTATGCATTCAAATTTCATATCCATTTATCACCACTAAAGCTGTCATGTACCATAACCATGCAAGATATAATCACAAATCAATAATATAAAATCAAGAGTTTATTAACAAGAATTTTATGACAGAAAACGAACAAAAAATTTAGAGTATAAACAATAAGAATCTACACAAAAAAAAATACTTTTTTCACAATGCTCTAGTGAAGACTGAGCAAAGAAAGAAAGAGAGATTGAGTTAAAGAAATACCTTTTGTTTGGTGAATTATGGGTGAAGAACGAAAGAAAGAAAGCCAAGTTTTCTGATTTCTCAACCTGCTCGAAGTATTGAAAGTACATGAAGACCACCGAGAAAGCTTTGTAGTGCTTTTAGAAATCAATTTAGGATATATTGGGAATAATAAATTTTTGTATCAGCTTTTAAAGGACAAACTTGTCATATTAAAAATGTCTTTGGCGCCCCATCATCTTTCCATCCTTTTCTTCCCACTTTTGGGCGGAAAAATTTTCAACAATTGGAGGGAGATTTTATCCGTTCATTTCACTTCTCTTCTGTAGTTGTTAAACTCCCAAAGGAAAGAAATGGCTGTCCTTCTCTCTGAATACTTTCTTTTCTGTCCATTTCACCCTATTCAAATGAAGCCTTAAGCAGCGTTTTAAAAATCCGACCGGACCGGCCGGCTCGATCGATTGAACCGTGAACCGGCCATGATACCGGTTTGATTGTATGCCAAAGCCGAAGACTTCAATTAAATCGAAAAAAACCGTTTAACCACTAAAAATCGATTGAACCATTGAACCTCGGTTTTTTATTTTTTTCACAATGTCTTTTTTCTTTTTCTTTGAAAGCTTTGGAAAAGTGGGGATATTTTTTGTTGCTAGTCAGGTTCGATCTTGGGACTTCATGTGAGGAGGCAAAAGGTTTCACCATTACACCAAGCATCCTTTTTTGCATTTTTAGTGCATAAAATTTTATTTGTATATTTTTTATACTAATTAACTTCCATGCCCTACGCCTCAGACATTCACCCTAAGCTTAAGACATAAAAGTAACTTTTCAGCCGCCAGACTTCACCCTACGCCTCATCTCTTTGCATCACCATCTTCAATCTTTATGCTCCCAATTTCATTTTTTTTCTCATCTAATCACAGGTATTTATAGTCTATGAATTTATTCCCTTTACAAACTCTTATTCTCTTTCCATTCCTCTTTCTAATATGGACTCTCCTCTCTTCTTTTTTCTACTTCCAACCCTTTCTAAATCTCCATCTATTTAGTTCGATCTCTTGAAGTTTTTCCATATCTTTAGTTCAATCATTTGGAGTTTTCTTTTCTTTATATTCTGTATGTAACGATTTTTCTTTTCTTTTTTTTTTTTGAAATTTTTGCTTCTTTTTTCTTGGTATATTGTGTTGTTCTAATTTTTGTTGGTTTGAAATTTCTTTTTTTCAATTGCGATTTTTTAGGTTTTTCTTTTCATTTTTTGTATGATTGAGAGAAACTACGGCCTTGTTTGGATTGCTGTTTTCCGTAAAAAAAAATTACGTCATTTTTCGTGATCACATTTCTCTATTACCTTTTTCCCTCACATACATCAAATCGCTACAGTAATTTTTCCATGAAAAATCATGAAAAATGCAATCCAAACACAACCTACATTCATCAAGTTTTAGAAAATTTATGTTTTTGACTTTTCAAGTTATGAAAAAATTTGTTCTTGGGTGCATAGTTTTTTAATTTTTTAATTTTTGGAAAAGGAATACTTCAAGTTAATATGTTGAAAATCTTTGGATGAGTTCTCTTTCTCTTTTTTAAGATTTGAAACTTATTTCTTTGTGATAAAGATGAAACTGATGTTTGAAGGGATGAAAAGTTTGAATCTGGGCTTATTTTGCGTAGGAATATCACCAGGCAAGAGAGATAATGAATTTTAATTTTTTTTATTTTTAAAAGTAATGAACCGGTGACTGGGCCGGTTGAACCGATTAAACCGAAAATCGGTGGGTTAACCGGATCGATCACCGGTTCGAGTTTCAAAACATTGCACTTAAAAAAGATGGTTCATGAAGTATGACAGATTTTATACTTAAGCGGGCATATTCTATGAACTAAAGTGGGATAAATTTTATACTTTAGAAATTAAAATGTGAAAAATTTTATATTTTAAGGATTAAAGTGAGATGAATTTTATATTTTACAGACTGAAGCGTAACAAATTTTATTTTTTAAGGACAAAAATGGGCTACAATTTTTAGGTTAAAAATTATAGTGTCTCATTTTGAAATTCAGGACTAAAGTGAAAATTCACGTACATTTGAAGAGTATAAAGTAGAATTGATCCTATGTTAATTTTTTTTCTACAAGTTTTTTAACAACTTAATTACAACAATCTTATAAAACTTGTAATGATCGAAAACAACCTAAGAGGGAGTGAATTAGGTAAATTAAAAAACTAATTAAGTTAAAGATATTTTTTGCTCGATATGAAATTTATCCTCTTTTCTAAGTGATTATACAATGAATCAATCAATGAATGAACAATATTACTAGAGAGAAGTAGAAGAGATAAACAATTTAATGATCACAACATAATAATAAGTAAATGAGAAAAAAAGAATTGCAAATCAATTGACTACCAAGCTCCTCTTGAGTTTGAAGATCAATTCAAACAAACTTCTTCAAGTTGATGAAGTACAACCAATCTTGTGTACAAAAGAAAGCTCACTTTCTCCTTGCCCCAAGGTTCACTCGGTTAAATTAGAAAATTTTTCTATTTCTCAGGACAATCCTCACAGAGCTACACTATTGAAATATTCACTCACAAATGAAAAGTTTACAATAAATTTCACACCACCAAAACTACAAATCTTCTTTGGAGAGTGTTTTCTCACTAAAACTACTCTATATCTTTTGTATTTTCAGTGTGCAAAAGTTATTTGAAGATTCAAACCATACTCTATTTATATGAGATCAAGAAAATGCTTCATTAATGCTTCCAACGGATAGAACGTATGTAAAAAGTCAACTAGCCGTTGGGAGTATCGGACGTTTGGTGCTACCGTTGTTTGCGTCTGATAGCAGATAGAGAGTTTGAAAGATTCTATTGGACGTCCGATACTTGCGTCCGATAGCAGACAGAGAGTTTGAAGAATTATCTCAATTCTATCGGACGTCCGGTATTGTCTTTATGAGCGTCCGACAGCTTTCGTCTTTCTTTTTCTTCTTTCAAATGCTCTTGTTCTTTGAATCAAATTGCTTTAAGACTGAAAGAATTTCTTAGAAAAGATATTAGTACTATCTATTTGTTTTGTAAATATCAAAAAATAGGAATCAAGATCAACATTCTTCCCCTTTTTGATGATGACAGAACAATGGATGGAAGGAAGAAAAATGAGCAGAAACTCCCCTTTAGTCATAGCATCCAAAACCGTTAAGTACCATCATATAATACTATCAAATAAACTTTCCATTACCCATAACATTCCAAACTAGCATCCATTTTGTAACTTCTACCCCTTTTTTGTCATTATAAAAGTAGAGAGCAACTGCCATAAAAAATAATAGTAGTGGCAACCATCATCAACCAATAACAAAAGAACTAGGAGGCATCGCGCGGTGTAATTTTCAAGGTTGCCCAGAAATGCCCAATGATTCAAATTCAAATATTAAGTATGAAAAGTTACAAAAAGATACACCAAAAACTTTGCATTCTATTTTTGTAGTTCTATTAAGCAGTGAACATGAATAACCTGTTAAGAAAATGCAAGACAATACAATGAGTAGACTACTAAGATCATTAAGATGCTCCTTGCTTTTGCATAGAATGAAAATAGAAATAAAAAAAGACACATGTAATGGTGGAGAAGGGGAAAAAATATAGCTTGAAGAAATGCACAAAGCGAGTTGTCAGTTCCTAAAAAAGGCATTTAATAGCTATAAGTTTGTTTTTTGTTGATAAAAACCGCAAATCAAGTTGTCAGTTCCTAGAAAAGGATATTTAACAGCAATAAGTTTCTTTTACAATATATTCAAACGAATAATAAAATGCATATACATGCAGTATAAAGAGAAAATCTACTTAGTGAGACTAAACCTATACCAGTGCCAATTGAACAAATTGACAAAGAAAAGAAAAAGTATTTCTAATTGGCCACAAGCAAAATGATTCTAGACTTTCAATGACTAATAGCATCAAAGAGCTCCAGCTTCATTCAGGCTCTCATCTCGTTCCCGTGAAAGGCCGAAAGCAAATACCTATCCAGCAGTGAACGATGGGTTTAGAAAAACTCTCTATAGACGAAACTCCAAGTTAAAAGCTACAGACAAGAAGCAATGTCATAAACCAGATTACCAAACATGTGAACAAAAAAATCCTAAAGAAAATATCATAGGAATTTGAATATCTATGGAACACTTAATTCTGATCAGAAACATCAAATTTTGGAAAAAAAAAGAAGCAATTTATACCAACCTATAATAATAGCCCGAAAGTCAAAATAAGCAAATAAATAAGTAAAAGGACAAGACAGTACCTCAGGAGAAACCAAAAGCAATGAGATTTGACAAAATTTCTTGATGATATTAATGCAAATAACCCATGAGCATCTTCACACTTCAAGTGCACGAGAGGTAATTTAATGTTTCTAAACAAAAGAAAAGGAATATCTCAAGAACCGAAAAAGCAACAAAGACAATCTTAACCAAAGGCAGCAAGAATAATTAAACCCAACAGGATAATGCATCATCAGTGGAACAGTTCAATCAAATAAAACTTAGATCTTCAGACATATTCAAAGTGTAATACATTTGAAATTATTCTACCTAAAGCAATAGTAGAAATCCAATTTTACTTTCAAGCTCTTACCATCTATAATGAGTCAATCAAAATCCAATTTTTCAATCATTCTAATAACTAATTCTACAACCATAAATGCTACTCACACAAAAACTTTTCCAAAAAAAAAAAAAATCGCTTAGGACTATGTAATTTTATTATTTCTTCTTTCTTTTTTGCTTCAAAATCAATAATAGAAAGTCAGAAATAAAAAAAAGGCAAATAAGAAAGAAACTCAGAAAACTGCTCAAGTTACAAAGAAAAAGTAACAGAAAAAACTTACAGCATTGAATCAAACCAAAGATCTGTTCTTTCCCTTCATCTGCTTCACCTCATTTTCATTTCAAAAACTCGGATAAAATTGTATTTTGAACTAAAATAAAACCTTACAAAAACTGCTTAAATTAAAATAAAAAAGAAACTCATAGACCTGATTACGCTGAAGATCCATACTTTTCTCTTCATCTGCTTATGCTTCTTCTCATCTTCTCCTTCTAATCAGGGGAAAAATTAAACAAAAAAATACTTACAGAACCAGCCTAAATTTCACAAAAAAAGTGAAAACAAAAGCATACATGTTCTGATGAAGATCCATTTCTCCCCTCCCTACTTCTTTTCATGGCTTCCTTTTTTTTTTTGTCCCATTTCTCCTGCTGTTTAAAATGGGAACCTGAACATAATCAAAGCAAGGCCATTAGAAATTTGTTGCAATTGTGAGAAGCTAATACAAAGGAAAATCAAAGATTCCTTAATCTTGCCTTCAAACCAAATTGTTCCATTTTCACCAAAATTATGCACGAATCTAGTTTCTTGTTTTCATGAAGTTCTATTTGTACTCTCAAAAGATTCCATTTAACCATTTAATGGTGAGATGAGGAATAAATCCTCTAAAGTAAATTTCACAAATTTAAATATGTAAACAAATCGTTATAATTTACAAAATAAGCAATATTGGCAATGGTGATTCGATGCACACCACAAATGTCCACTACCTAAGGCATGACAATGTGTATGTCAGACAATATCCATATGCTATCTTACCCAAACAATATAGACAGTCTAAATGTGCAAGAAATATAGAGTAAACCTCTTGAATGCTCTTGGGTGGCAATAATTCTTAAAAGTTTTCTTACAATAACAGCATAATGGTCAACAACAAATTCAGTAAGTATTAAGTTTCGCGTAGTCGTATACCACCCTAATGCTTAAAAGTAAGAATTAACCACCATTTTTTCTTTGTTCCCTCTCTTGACAAAAAGTTGAGCAGAAAACCATAGTGCAAATCAATACATATATGAAGAATAAAGCCTACAAAAAATTGCCTACTTAAACATTTTTTTCACCAGTAAATTTTGAATAATTCTTCACGTTTCTTGATGTAATAAAAGATAATTAAATAAAATAAGAGACCTAAAAAGACCTTCTGTCGCAAACAAAGTAGTATTTATGATTCCAATACAATGAATTAATGGTATGCAAATAGTGAAGGACTGAAAGGCTGAAATTAAGAATAAACTATCTAATAATGACCATGCTCAACACAAAAGCAAAATAAAAAAAATAAGAAAGGACTGCATTTTTAACTTACAAAGTTTGTTATTCCATGAACTGGTTTCAGAGTGACTGCATCTTCAATCATTTGCACCTTTAACATAAACAAAGTAAATTAATAACATAAAAGAATAAAAAAATTAATAACATAACCAAAAGTAAAATAAAAAGAAGATGACCGTAGAAAATAGGATCTAAATGCAAAGTAATCCTAACATCTTCTTGTTATTTTAGCTGCAAAAAATTCTCGTTACCTTTCCAAGGAATATAAAGAATCTGGAAAGACCAACATATTACCACACCAAACTTTTAATTGCCATAAACATTGAAATCATTTTCACGAAAGGTAAAGTCTAAATAAGCAAGAAACATGTAGTAAACCACTTAAATGGTAGTAGATGGTAAGAAAATTCTCTGCAATAACAGACTAATACTCAATCTGCCATATTTACTCTATATTCACTTTATATTCTCAAAATGTTATCCCCATGAACTCAAACCAATATTCTAGGAACAAAATAAACAAAAATTTAACCAAAAATGGTATTCTTGTAAAACTAAAATAAAAGGTACTCGTGTAAAAGAAGAAGGGCAGGCAAAATTCATGCATATACAAATATATAGGGAACATGTACTTAAAACGACTATCTCAACTAATGGCTCCTTGATCAGTTTCAGTGCTTTTATCAGCAACTAAGAAAACACAATGTTTGTTAAAAAAAAAACTAAGAAAACACAAAAGTATTTTTTTTCTTTTGTTTTAAAGAATCCATATACACTCTTCGGAAAATGAGAACCAAAATTTCACAAGGGCAAAAATAAGAAAAATAGTTTTCTCAAAAATAAAGACACAAAAAAAAATAACTAAAGTTTTTAACAGTCATTGACATGAAATTTGTCATCCGCAAATGGACACTTTGGGTTGGTTACCATATGGATCGTCTTTTTTGAGTCAATAATTGAACGTACTCCTGCACATAACAAACCCAAAAAAAAAAAAAGCCATCAAATGAGCCATGAAAACTCCATTTTTCAGAGTTTCAGAGCCATAAAAAAATAGTTAAGATGGATGGTTGTTGTGCTGATGTGGCTGTATTTTATTGGCTGGAGGGATTATTAACATGGAGTTTCAGAGCCATGAAAAAATAGTTAACATTTTGGTCAAATGAAATTTATTAATTAAGGAGGAGGATTATTAATATAGGCCATAATTCTATCCTCTCAATACATCAGTAGCAAAAGGGATGGTCAAACTCTTGGCACAAAATAACTCATCAAGTTACAAAAGATTTTAAACCAAACAAAAATATTATGATAACACCATCCACGTGAGATATAATGCATCAAGAGCTGATATACATATATAGCAGGTAGCTCAATCTGATTTGTATTAAAACATAACCTTTTTCAGGTTCTCGTTTCAAATTATCACCATTGACATCTCACATATAAATAAGCAATTTATAAATCCAAAAAAAAAAACCCAGATCTTAAGTAAACTAAAAGCAATAAGAATCGCATCTGTTTCTCACTATTCGTTAATTTTAACAACCAATCAGCTATAGTACAGAAACAAGAATCCCAAATTTTACCATTTTTACAACCCATGTACTTACAAGCGAGTAATCAATTCAAAAAACCCACCATAACCTAGAAATAAAATCCACCAAAAATCATAAATATCTAAGGATCAATAAAATTCATATAATAAAGGTACAACCTTGGTCCTTGACATACTCAGCAAAGGTGTTGCAGTCTGAGCAGAGATCCAGACCAGTTAATCCCAGATTCTCACACTCTTTGGTGCTAAGTTGCATTTGCACATGAGCAGACCCACCAGTAACAAAACCCAAAGAATGGTCATTTCCTGCTACAGAAGTAGGATCAGGATTAGATGTACCCCAATAATAACATATTCATATAAAGAAAAGAACCTTTAAAGTTGCCTAGAAGAAAGAAGAATTCACAAAAAAAATGGAGATAACAGAAATAAGAGAAGAATCTACTGAGAGAGTATAAAAGCGAGTCTTACCAACAGAAATCAATCAATAAAAATAATGTCACTGATGAAATTTCCCCATAGGGAACAAAACACTATACATATATGTGGAAGCAAATTCTAAAGAAGTTCCTATGTATTATTTTCCAATTTTTCTTTTTTCTAAAAATGCAAAATTGGGTCCAACATCAAAGGTCAATGGTGTGAAGCACAGGGATACTACTATTTCCTGAACATATTTTTTCCAGTCAAAGATTGAGCTAGGTTTTTTTAGTAATATAAAAGGGGAAAGATGGTATCTTCATAATAGATTACATGGATTTTGCTTTTGAAACTCCATTTACCTAATTCATATAACTATGTATCTCATGAATCATGAACTGATCAAAACATCTTCAAGGAAGTTAGGCATAATAATGATTTCACTTTGCACATTAAAACCACAAAACCAGAAAAATCAACTATGAAATAAAGATTTCATCATACAGCTTCCCAAATCTTGACATTACGAAGAATACCATGTTGTTTAATAACAGATTCATTATGTTTTGGATGATTATTTGGAACATGGGCCAAAAGACCAACCTGGAAATGGCAGTCAAAGTCCCCTTGCAATGGCAGAGACATGAACAAGAACCAAGAAAATTGACAATTTCAGTTATTTTGAAAAACCCAAACAACAACTAAACAAGAGTTGGGAAATTTGAACATAGAACATCAGCTGCTCTATCCGCTAAATTTAAGACATTTCAACTGCTAAGAAATAATAACTGCAATCAATAGAGATAGATAGAACCCCGCTAAATTTCAAGGCAGTAAAGATAGGTAGTATAGCAAATACACGAGTACCCAGAATCATAACTGGAGAACACCCTCAAACTGAATTAACTCTTGCAATGCCCCTCCCAATTTCGTCATATTCCGAAGCAACCAATTTAACAAGCACCATTCATTTTTATTTAACTCTAAAAGTGCCTTTACTTTTTAAACCCCTATAGGCACACACAAAAGCCTATTTCTACTTTTTTGGGTTAAAAGAAAACATTTAGACAAAAAATTCTGAAACATAAGAGACAAAAAAATTGGGGGAATGAAGAAAAAAAAATGTAAAAGTAGGTGCATTCTAGTCCAGTGAAAGCAAAAAAATTTCTCATTCGTAAAAGGTTTATGGTCAAATGTATCACCATTTCCAATGTGATTTCTAACATCAAAACTTCAACTTTCTCACCCATTCACTTATCATATCTCAAGTGATAAGTCTTGCTTCAGAAAACTTCCTGTATCACCAAAAAATACACTACCTCATTTTTCAAATCAAACAAAAGAACTGGAGTAATTTTCTACATGCATACAATTGATTGTTCAAAGCATATTTCCAAAGCCATTCCCTATTAATCCTTTGGCAAAATGTTGTGAAATATAACATATTTCAATCCAAAAAAGTACAATTATAATGTTCTTGATTATTTAGAAAAGGGTATGAAAAAAAGCAAACATTTTTTGACTTGCTAAACCGTCCAGAACATTATCATCCCCTCCTTCACTGCTCTCCATTAAAAAAATCCCTAAATTACAGCAACAGCAAAAAACCCAAAATGAAAACAAAAAAATTATTTCATCAAAACATCATAAAGATCACAATACATTATAGGGAAGTCAAATTATTCCTTCTTAAAGCAATACGAAAAAATAGAAAAAAAAACCTTAGAGATGAGAGTAAAAGCATATGAGAAAAAGAATTTGCTTGAATCTGGGTTTTAAAGATAAGGAAAAGTCATGGAAGACACTTACCTTGAATTTGTAGTCCATGTAAATATTCAACCTTTCCACCTACAACACCATAGAAAGTACAATCGAGTATTAGGGAAAAAAACCCACAAAATCACCGATAAAGATGACAACTTCTGAGAAGGAGATGAAGAAGAGTTTAAAAGGGAAAAATGATCTCCATATATATATATATATATTGCTTTTATAATGGTGGATGATCCAGCGTACTCATGATTCAGCTGATGAGAGGAAGAAAGATTTGGGTAGATGGCGGTGTAGAAAAAGACTGGAGAGATGAAGAGAAACTAAGAGGAGGAAAAACATTTTGACATCTCTAGGAGAGAAAATCCCGAATCTTATTTTCTTCCCAAAGAAAGGAACAAAGAAAAAAAAAATGGAAGGGGAGAGAAGCTCTGGAGATACCCTTTAACTTGTAAGAAGAAGCCCAACGTGTGACCTTTGTTTTGTCTTGCACTGTTATTTAATGTTCAATTAAAGAAGAAAGAAAAGAAGTGAAAGACAAAGAAAAGAGAAAGGGAGAAAGAATCGGAGAAGAACGGAAGAAAGACGGAGCAAAAGCAAGAAACACAATGAGTGGCGCAAGTGAAGACTCTCAGGAACCCTACCTATTCATCAAGGCGTGAAATCTCGATTTTGTCCTCAATTCAATTCATCAGCTAAATCAACGGAGGACTACCATCAATCGGCCAATCACAGCGTGCCACGTCAGCAATTGGGTTCAATTGGGGCAATTGCATTCGCACATTGAACTATATATGTTAATAACATCAAAAGATACCAAAAATAACAATGAACATCAATAAGACCAACACTCATATCAATCAACATTCATTAGTCATTCAAAAACCATCAAATGAAACTTAGTTCAGAACATCGGAAATATCAAAAGTATTACAAAATATTTGTAATAATCGTACCTCTATATATTTTTTCATCAATTTTCGAACCTTCTTGGGTTTGAACCACTTGGACCCCAAGAAAAAAAATTCAACTCTCCCATCATACTGATCTCAAACTCATTTTACATAATAGTGAAAAAATTCTTGCACAAACACTCATTAGTAGTACCAAAAATAATATCATCCACATATATTTGTACAAATAAAAGATCATTTAAACTTTGTTTAGTGAAAAGAGTGGTATCCACAATACCTCTTTTAAAAACATTCACAACCAAAAAAACTATCCACTTTTTAAAATCATTCTCAATCAAGAGATTTGAATTTTTGAGAGTTAGCATTATTTCTAACTATTCACATGTATTTTATGTCTTTTCTCATGTTTTTTTTCACATAACAATTACTTTTTATGTGACCTTTTTGACAACAAAAACTACACATAAACAATGAGTTATTTACATAAACAGGTTTAATAAATCTTATTTATTTTCTCTTATAAACAACAAAATCATTTATATCAGAATTTATCTTCTTCTCATAAGAGCCAAGATGAGACTTTGATCAATTCTCTTGAAAACAGTTTTATTTTTTTTTATGCTAGAGAAACTCATTTGAATTGTCTATTTTTCTTTTCAAATCACCTTGTTCCTCTTTGAATATTTCACAAAGTTTTGTTTTTCTATCAAACTCATTTTATAGATCAATCTTATCCTTTTTCAAACAATTATTTTCAGTTTTCAGCTTTTTATGTTCTTGAAAAAGACGTGCATTGTTTTGAAGAAAAAATTAATTTTGTGTTTTAATTTCTTATTTCTATCATAAGATTCTTTCAAAATATCATGCAATTTTTCAATGAAAGATTTAAGATCATCATCAGTTTCATCATCAGATTCAAATTGAGGGTTAGAAGTTGTTAATTCATTATCTCCAATAGCCATAAAAGTCAATTGAACAGATTCTTCTTCATCTTCAATTTCACCATCGAAGTTGCACTCATTCCAAATGAATTGGAAGTTGTTAAATCTTGATTTTCTTTCTTATTTCTTCTTCTTCATTGGACACTCACTCATATAGTGTCCAAATTGGTCGCATTCATAACATTTGTTATCTTACTTTCTGTTGGCCTCTAGTTTTCCATTGTTTCTTGCAAAATTGAATTGATTGGAATTTGAATTGTTAGGTTCTCCTTTTCTGAATCTTTTTTTATTGAGAATTCTCTTGAAACTTCTTGTGATGAGAACAAGATCATTGTCATCAACCTCCACATCTTCTCCATCCAAGAAAGTTGAGTCATCTTCATCTTGAGAAACTTTTAGAGCAATGCTTCTTCTTACCTTTGCATCCTCTTCTTCTTGCACCTTAGTCTTAAGTTTCAACTCATAAAATGTTAGAGAGCTAATAAGAGATTCAATAGACATTGAATTTAAATTTTTTGTCTCTTCAATAGCAGCCACCTTACTCTCCCAATCTTTAGACAAAGCATTCTCTTCTAAGGTGTATTCCTTATCCAAAATCTCTAAATGCTTAATAAGATCATTAAATCTACAATACATTTTATCAATATTTTCATAATATTCCATCTTAAATGACTCATATTTAGTAATTAAGATAGATTTCTTTTATTCTCTAACATTCTCACTACTTTCACGAATTTTTCTCAATTTGTCCCAAATTTCTTTACCTGACTTACAACTTTTGACTCTAATAGATTCATTTGAGTCTAAAGTACTATATAACACATTCATAACTTTTGCATTTAAGGTGAGATGCTTTCTATCCTCTACAGTCAATTCAATCCTTGTTTTTTGTTTAGGTTTATGAGTGTTTTCATCTACTATGGGCTTTCATTAACCATAAATCACAATTCAATATCAATCGATTGCAAGAAAATAATCATTTTTTCTTTCCAACTCATATAATTTGACCTATTAAATATAGAAAGTCTAATCAGAGATTGTCCTTAAAAAATATGGCATTATTGATTGTCATTTTTACTCCAAAGTCGCTTGAGTTTAATTTCTAGGAGACCAAGTTCTAACACCAATTATAAGGATCGAAGACAACCTAAGAGGGGGTGAATTACGTAGATTAAAAAATTAATCAAGTTAAAGACGCTTTTTGCTCAATATGAAATTTACCCTCTTTTTTAAGTGATCACACAATGAATCAATCAATGAATGAATAATATCACTTGAGAGAAGTAGAAGAGATAAACAATTTAAGAATCACAACATAACAATAAATAAATAAGAAGAAAGGAATTGCAAACAAATTGACTACCAAGTTTCTCTTGAGCTTGAAGATCAATTCAAATAAACTTCTTCAAGTTCATGAAATACAACCAATCTTGTGTACAAAGGAAGGCTCACTTCCTTCTTACCCCAAGGTTTACTCGGTCAAATTAGGAAGTTTTACTATCTTTCAGGACAACTCTCACAGAGTTACACTATTAAAATATTTACTCGTAAATGAAAAACTTACAATGAATTTCACACTACCAAGACTACAAATCTTTTTTGGAGAGTGTTTTCTCACTAAAACTACTCTATATCTTTTGTATCTTCAGTGTGCAAAAGTTATTTGAAGATTCTGACCATACTCTATTTATATGAGATCAAGAAAGTGCTTCATTAATACTTTCAACGGATAGAAAGTAGTTGAAGAGTCAACTAGCCACTGGGAGTATCGGACATCCGGTACAACCGTTGTTTGCGTCCGATAGCAGATAGAGAGTTTGAAATATTCTATCGGACGTCTGATGCTTCCGTCTGATAGCAGAAAAAGGGTTTGAAGGATTCTATCGGACATCCGATGCTTGCGTCTAATAGCAAACAGAGTTTGAAAGATTATCTCAATTCTATCGGACGTCCGGTATTGTCTTTGTGAGCGTCCGACAGCTTTCGTCTTCCTTTTCTTCTTTCAAATGTTCTTGTTCTTTGAATCAAATTACTTCAAGAGTGAAAGGATTTCTTATAAGAGATATTAGTACTATTCATTTGTTTTGTAAACATTAAAAGACAGGGATCAAAATCAACAAAACTTTTCAAAGTTTTTTAAATGCACACCTCAAATACCCAAACACATAAAAGAAATTGTTTTCCTTCTTTTGTTTTCTTCTTTCCTACACCTCAGTCTATTACCACCTCCACCATTGGGCACCGCTTGCAACCACCTCTACTAGTGCAGGCAACTCTTTTTTTTTTCTTTCTTTCTTCCCTCTCTCCCTCTCTCTTCTTCTCACTCTTTCCTCTTTCTCACTTTCTCTCTCTTCATCTTCTCTTTTTTCCATTCTGTTCCCCCATCTCCCGAACTCTTCCCCTTCCTTGCTGGTCATGCGAACAGTGTTGGAGTGACAGGAGAAGGAGGGAGGAGGAGGAGGAAGGGGAGAGGAGAGGAGGAAAAGGGATGAATGGATGAGAAAGAAGGAGGGGGAGGCAAAAAAGAAAAAAAAATGGGAGAGTGGTTTCAGCGCTAGTGGGAGAAGTAGGGTGGTGGCAATGGAAAGAGGGGTGAATGAGGGAGGAAGAAGAAAGGAAAAAGAAAAAGAAAAGGAAAAAGAAAGGAAAAGGGAAAGAAAAGAAAATTTGTTTTCCCAGTTCTCAAATATATAAAAAATTTTCTACTGATTCTACAATACATTACAATAAAGTTGTTGTAAAACTAATAAAATGAACTACTATAATAGAAATTGAAATATTAGAGAAAGAAGTAGAAAAATGGAGAATGATTTTCTTATTATTCTAACTAATCAAAAAGTGCACTCAAGAGGTGCCAAGGTACCTCTATATATAGGTATTACAAAATTAAAAGTATATCAATTCTATTAAACATTTATTACTACAAGAACATGAATAATCATATGAAACGGTTCATCCAATACATGAATAGCTCTCATGGATTGAAACCGTTCATCCAATGTAATTCCTTTATATAATGTAGCAATGAATTATGAATTACTCCCTTTGGAATCAATAAATTATGAATTAATTATCTGAAGAATAAAATGGACATCCACACTTTTAGTTGTTTCATAACAGTTTTGTATAAATACCCAAAAAATACACCTTCCAAATAGACCTAAAGTCATGTAGTGCTCAACTACCGAGCTATTTGTTATCTTATTTTCATGTTTGATTTTCTATTATTTTTCAATTTGAATTGATTGATAATGTTAGACTTCAATTTTCAAAGTTTGTTTGCCATTTTTGGTCTAACAAATTAAACTTATAGTAATTGAAATAAAAATTAAACCCAAAATACTAGTTGCCTTTGAGAATTTGATGAACATCATTCCTTTAAAATAATTAGGACAAATATATGAATAAGTAATTAAGCAAGAGCTACTAATGTAGTGTTAAATGAATGGAAGTATGGGGCATGAGAGATAAGTTGCAGAGGAAAACAAAGTACGTGGATTTAAGTGTTAGTAACTCCAAGATCGCAAATGCACGTGAATCTGATTGAAGTGAGCAACTTGCTTTTGGCAAGGTAGCCGCTAGAATGGATTTTAATTTCCACTTTGATAAGGGTGACAAGTTTTCGAAAAATATTGAATTACCAACCAAACTTGAAATCAATTTCAAAAATTTTTTTGGGTTAAAAAGGATAATTTCATTTCAATATCTGAACTGATAGCAGGTAAGTAAATTAAAACATAATA